TCTTGGTCACTAAGGTCTACCTTGACTACCACACTTCCAAACATTTTACTCTATGCTATCACCGCTATGGGGTGGGCCCAGTTTGGAGGTCTGGCAGTGCTGGTTCCCATAGATGCTGCTGGTTTCCAGCCTGTGGGAGCACCCAGGGAGGCACAGCAGCAGCCAGGATCCGGGAGCAGACGCGTGGGGTGTTTGCGCAAAGACTCATCTCTCTGTCACACACAGGATCCAGAACATGCAGGGCAAGGTTGGCAGTCCCAAGGCTCTGAGCCCTTGCATCGGTCTGGAACACCGACGGCCAAAAAGAACTTTTTGTGCACACATACACAGCCTGGGCAATGCACACACACATGTTTATTCACGTGTGTGGATGTCAGGGGATGCTAGTGAGGGAAAGCTGAATGGAGGAGAGAGACCACGGCACCTCCTCTTGCGTCTCCCTGCTCCCCCTTACCACAAAGCGTGTAAAAGCCCTTCCCAGAGCTCTGGAACAAAGGAATGAAATTCTGAGCTGCAGCAGAAAGCATACACAGCCACGTCTCATGCAGGTGCTGCATTTGGGTCCAGGTGCTGGTGCACATGGGGAATCTTGGTACACCTTCTTGGATGTGGTTTGCAGGACACCCACACCCATGTGTGTGTTGCTGTGTCAAGTGGCTCCTCTGGCACGGTGGTTGCCAGACACCTCCCTGCCAGCAGCACAGCCCACCCCGGCAGCCCATCGGGAGCCCAACAGCTTTCAGCAGCCCTGGTTTGTAAAAACTTCACCTTGTTAAGCTGATTTAGACAAGTTAAATCCTTTAAGGATTAAAAATGTCAGCACCACGACTGGCAAAAGTTGTTGTGGGGCATCTTCTCCCATGCTGGAATAGGTCTGTCAGTACAGGACAGCAGGCTGGGCTGCCACGACTGGCAAAAGTTGTTGTGGGGCAGCTTCTCCCATGCTGGAATAGGTCTGTCGGTACAGGACAGCAGGCTGGGCTGGAGAGGAGACAACACTGCCATCCAGTTTCAGAAGAAGATATGTCCAATAAGCCAACTAAATTCAGCTCAAACGCTCTCCTGAGATCGAGAAAATGTTTTATATTCAAAACCTGCCAGTGAAACCCCTGCAGATGTGCTGCCAGTACATCCCACGTGTTCACCAAGAGTTGCACTGGCTTTGTCCAGGAGGGTCTTGGGAAACTTTGCTACCAGTTTTAATCTTGGCTGACTATCAGGCCCTTCCTCAGCAAAGTGCTGCTGATTTGGGTTTAAAAAAAAAAAAAAAAAAAAAAGGACACAGGTTATACAGAATAAAATCCAACTTCTGGTAACTTCAAACCATGCAGATCAACTTTCCATGCCCAGGGTAAATACTGCATGGAAATACCTTTTGGCATTGAAACCTGTGGCATTAAGAAGACAGCTTGTCCTTTCTGCTGTTTTGCCACTGAATACAAGTGCAGGGATTACAGGCAGGCAATCTCTGACCAAATCCTTTTCTGATGTGTTTGATTATAATGTGATAGCCCTTTACTACTGAGAAAAAGATTTATGTCACACACAATTGCACAATTTGGAACTTATTCACATACAAGAATGAAGAATAAACAATAGAAAAAGAGCTTTTCTCCCCTGGTACTAAAACCAGACCAACGGCTGAATTAATCCCTGGTGTTTCAAATCCACTCATGAATTTGACTAAAACACAAAACTCGCCCTTTTCAAATGGAATTTTGGTAGAGAAACACATTGGCCAGAGAACCAAAGGGAGTAAATCAGCAGAAAATGGACCTGTTCCATAGGTTACACATGGACATTTTGGGAACACAAAATCAGAATCTTTTAAACACTAGCTGGGTTCAATCACAGTTAAGTGACAAAAGGCTAAGTTGTGCCTGTGCTGCTCCCCACATTGTGTTTGGCTTTGCAGCGCATTGCTGACTTCCATCTTTGCTCAGCTCACTCAGCTTTTACTCCAGCTGTGCAAAAATCTCCTCAGTCAGTTACTAGCAGTGTTTCTGGGGTGCAAGTTCAGCACAGAAACCACCTCTTTCTTCTTGTATGCATCACTGGTCATCAGTGGGCAAGGGCACGGGCAGGAGTGTGAGGATGGTGTGAGGATTTGGGGCTGGCTTCATCCTGGGGTAACAGAAACATTGGGAAATGCTGGTGGGAGAGGGAAAGGTGTGGCCTCTTTAGGCTGCCCCTATTGCCTTTATATATCTGCTACTGAGTTGATGAAGCCAGCAGCCTTAGATGAAATTTCTCTGCAACCTGCTGAATTTTAGACTGACCTTTTCTCTCACTTGTTTATGACAAAATTAAGGAAACCTGTCAAGGGCAGACTGCCCTTAATTTCCCAGTACTCCAATGTTGCTCATTTCTCTAGCAAATAATTGTCTTTCAAACACGTAAATGCCAGTGTATTTCTGCTTCTTCACTTTTCTCCTTTTCCACCTCCATGAAATGCCACCAGATAATTTTACTTACCCAACCTTCAGCCCTGTAACACAGGGCTTTGGGACCTTTGTGCCCTCTTGGGCACAACCCTAACTTTCCAACCAGCCCTCCAAAGTTGTCACTCTGGCCCTCTGTTTGCTCCCACACCTTCCTTCTCTGCTTTTAGACCAGCAGAAATACCATCCAGAGCCAGAGCAGCAGCTCAGAAGTGGCTGTGAGAGCCCTCCCAGGCTTAACCTCAGTCCAACACATAGGGCACCCCAGTAGAATCCTGAGTGATGCAAACCCTGACCTTTTTCATTTGAGTTCTGCTGTTACTGGAAGTTTGAAGAACTTTCAAGAAGAACCCAAACTTCACCCAGTAATCAGAAATTAATACCACAAGCTCTTCCACCCTGCTGAGTTGAAAAAGGGCTGAAAGGAGTAGGGCAACACACATGGCCACAGATGTAACACAAAACAGAAAGACCAGGATTGAATGCATCTCATTTTGGGGGGAGAAAAATGGGGTAAAATGCTGCCTCCCTGCTAAAATTCCTATCCCAAGCTTCATGTTTAGGTTGTCTCTTTTTAGAGCATAAGGTAAGGAGGCAGGAGAATATTAGTTAACACCAGCACAAAACATCTCAAACGTGAAAGTTATAAAATCAGCAGCAGCAGATGGACATCGAGTTAAATGTTGATCCTGATATCTAAAGGAATGCATTAGTCCCTACCACAGCAAATAAGAAAGCATCCCAGAGGATCTCAGTTTCCAGTTTCCTCTTTATTCTAGGCTTGCTAGACTAACTCTGATATGGGCCAATATATCCTGGTCTCCTAGCAAATACCCATGTGCTTTCTCCTCTAAGGATGAAATGCCGAGATAAAAGCTCTGGCTGTCAAAATAAGATGCAGAGCACAATGCAAAAAACCCCAAAACTTTACTTCAGCTGGTGCTAGTTCACACTCAGTGTTAAATATGGATCCCTCATTGCCAATTAAGGACCGATTTAAAAAGGCACCCACACTCTTGTGTTTTTTTATAGACAGTGGAGAGAGGTGTAGCTCAGGGCTGAAGCCTTGTGTATGCTCCAAATCATCCCTTATAGCTGCCTGTATGCCACTATTTGCAAGAACTAGTCCTAAAAGACTTTCCTAGGCTAAAGTTAGCTGTTGTGATTATTTATTTCACCATTGCTATGCTGGTTTACTCTAGAGCTCACCTCTGTGTTGGTGCATTATTTGTGGTGCAATGCACTGGGAAATCAGGCCCTGAGGTTAAACTGTGCTTAGGATTGCAAGAAATCTACAGGAAGCCATGGGTAAAACTGCACACCATAAATAAGTAGTATTCTGGTAAGTATAGAAGGCCATTTATTGCATTAAATAAATCTCAAGTGAATCCTTGTGAAGGAGCTGCATGTAGGTGGAACTGCTTAATGTGAATCGTGTAACAGATTTCTGATGAAGTGCTCTGTCAATTATGAGAGCCATCTATTTTCATTTGGATGGCTTGGTGTTCAGGCTGCTCTTCAACATCCATATGTTCTCCATGTGGTATTGCTAGCATCAATTATTTACAGAATGGTACAAATGCCAATTTTACAGTGATGAGGTGCATAATCTACTGTGGCATTATCAAGTAGTAGGATCACCACTGAGAACAGTGAGTTCATCTGGCTTGTTCTTCTCTGGCCTGCATTACCCTAGGAACTGAACCCAAGGGGTGAATCCTGACAGCCCCTAGGAACTGAACCCAAGGGGTGAATCTTGACAACTTCTTTCAGGTCTGACACTTATTTCTCTTCAGCAGCCTTGACACTAGGTGTCTAGCCTTTCACCCCAGGCCCTGTCTGTGATCAGTGAAGATAGATGTCTGCAGAACGCTATTTATTTTACTTTGCTAACAACAGAAGGAAATCAGATGATCTCTAAGACCAAATTGGTACTGCTAAAGTTAGGTGAGACAAATTCTGAGTGAAAGCATACTGAGACCAGCAGAACTCAATATTTATCCTTGATGAACAACGTCCTGGGCAGAATGTCCAAGAGTGGCACATGCCTCCTGGCTTGCTGCCTGGCTGGCTGGAAGTCTGGGAAGAAAATGCAGTTAGAGTGGCTTAGGAAATACAGGGGGGTTCATACTCAGGAAGATGGAGTCTTCCCTGTCTGAAGAAGTAAGCAGTTCTGTAGACTTTGAATTTTTAACATTGATTTTCCTTTTTATTTTATTTTTTTTTCTTTATTTTTTTTAGGGTGAAGTCCTGGGCAGACGCCTTTGGTGGGGAGCTGTACTCTGTTGTGACTAGGTATTCAGGCTCTCTTCTGTTGCAGAAGGTAGGCAAAATCTGTGAGGGTTCCCTTTGCTTCATAGCATCTCCCCATGTAGCCTTCCAAGGTTTCTCCTTAGAGTAGAAGAAAGCTGGAGACCTGTGTCTTGTTCTGTCTTTCAAATCCGTACAGCTTCACATCCATGAGCACAGAGTGATGCCCTGTGACCATTTTCCACAAACCAGAGAGGGGGATCCTTTGCTGCATTCATTAGCCATGGCCAAAACCCACCTAAATTGTCCTGTTTTTTACAAATACTTCTTAACAGCACTCCTCATGTTTCATCTCTGATAATCATTTCATGCCATCCCCTATTGACCCTTTGCTGCTCCTTTCCTAAGTGCCTGTCAGTCCCTCTACTATTCATCACTCACATGCTTCTTGTCACCCTGCCGTTCCCTCCTGCAGCTCTCTGGCTGGCACTTGATTCTTCCTGCTTTCTAATCTGTATGCATCCAGTTGCTCATCAGTTCTTTGAATTTTTCCATTAAAACTCTGCTTTGGACAGTGCCCTCGAGTCAGGTGCCCTGGAAGCCATGGTCTTCCAGAGGCACAGAGCTCTGCTTGGCCTGATCTCCAGACAGGCAGCATTACACTAAAATCTCTACCAGCATTAAAGCATGTAGCTCCAGGGGCTTGAAACAAATGGTCCCATTTGCAGCTGTAGAGAATTTGCCTTAAGTCAGTGGTGAATGGCTGCTCCTCTTTCAGACTTGATCTCTGCCTCGTGGCAGCAGGGCTGTATGGATCAGCACCTCCCAAGTGCTGCTCTGGGGATAGTGTGGCTGCTGAGTGCATCCAGAGAACACGCTGACTTCATGTGGCCATCCAGTTCTTCTGCTTGTGGCTGCTGAGTGCATCCAGAGAACACACTGACTTCATGTGGCCATCCAGTTATTCTACTGTACTCTTTCTCTGATTCTTCTCTTCAGGACAAGCCATGAGTTGCCTCTTAGACCTTCTAGGTGTCTGATTTCTGTCCCCATATTAGCAATAACACCCATATTCCAGTGGAAAAAAAGTAGAATTAAAGGATCTGGATATAACTTTCCTTGCCTTGCTAGTAAGTCCTGTTTCCCTGTCCCCAGAGTTCTGCTTTTTGTGTGGAGTAAGGGAGCATATACTCCAGCATCAGCTTTGCAAGGGTTGGCCAAGAATGATTTTCAGCATCCATCACAAAGGTCTATGCTGATCATCAGCTCTTCTTGGGAGGAAAGTGTCACCATGTCACTAAAAATCCATCAGCACTCATATAGGTACTTGATGCACTAATCATGAGGCAGCTGCAGTGGCATATAGATGCAGGCAGAAGTTTGGCTTTTAGCAGTTTTGATGATGCTTCTGCATTGCCTGTTCTCCCATGGAGTCCCCAGGTGACAGTTGCCAGAAGCAAAGTGACCTGCTAAGGTGTCTCCAGTGGTGCTGGAATTCCAGTGTGCAGGATATACAGATTGGGGCTATTTGATAGTCACGTATCTGCCTGATGCTGTGGGTCAACACAGCCAACTTGAACTGCTTCTGTGGCTATTTCTATGAACAGATTAAGGGTTTTCATGCTCCTTGAGGCCCAAAAGTCAGTGGGACTAAGGAGAACTGGGGTTAGCTTGAAAATAAGTGTTGTGAAAATTAATACTGGAGGCCAAGGATGGCAGATGTGGCACTGAGGTTAAGTGTAAAGACACCTGTGCTGCTCTGATGCTCTGGATATGTTGTACCAGATAATTTCATCTACCTCTGTCCACACTGTGTTTGTCTCTTGGGATCTTGATCCCTTTGGGATAGGGGTTATGTGAGGAGTGTAGAAGCCAGTACAGTACCACTGAAGGTTAGTCACAGCAGACAGATTTTGAACAAAAACTTGCAACTCTTATCAGCTCTTGGTGTAATTCACTGGAAGCAAAGAAAACTCATTTCTGATGAAAAAGAAGCCTGTATGCAACCAAGTCCAATCTAGTATTCATGTCAAGAGGAGTGAAGGCAGAGCTGTATTTTCCTGGATGTGTGATAGCCTTATAAAATAATAGCACTCGCTTGGCCCCATCCAAGTTTGGTTTCACACACAGTTTTTGTCTTGAAAGGGGAAGGCACCTAGTTTGCTCTTGCATGTGTTTGGGCCTGGATTCAGCACAGACCAATTGTGCTTTGCACAGTCTCTGGACAGCCCTGAGTGGGACACAGTGTCATCTGTGACTCAGAGGGGAAAATGTCACTTCCAGCAGGGAGTATAGATGAGATTGGATCAATCTTGCTCTGTAAGTGCTCCAGCCAAGAGTCATCTCCTAAATGCATGTTGTGTTGTGTCCTGCCTTGCCCTAACTTCGTTTAAGCAGTTCTAACAGCTCAGGTTTACCTTTCATCCCTCAAGCACCACTTCTTGAGCTCTTTCATTTCCCCTTTTTTTCCTGTGACTAAAGAAATAGAGGAAAACCAACCACCATCCACTTCTTCAATACTTCTCTCAGCCTCCATTTCTTTACTATGCAGTAGGTCAGGCACCTTCTCAAAAATCATCTCCTTAGAGGAGGGAACATCCTGGAGGACTCCCTCTGCATCCCTGGCACATCCAACACTTCAAGTGGCTGCAGACAGATCTTTTACTGTTAGGCAACATTTTCATGCACCATGGCAGACCCCAAATAGCTTTATGTATATCACCACATTGGCACCAGTTGTGGGCAAGTTAGGCCCGGGGAGCCAAATACACCAAAGTCTGGAAATCAAACATGGGTTTGCCTGCTCCCCAGACACCTTTCTCTTTTTTTGAGGCTATTGCCTCTTTTTGACATGAAATATTTCTCTGTGTGCATGGGTGTGCACAGAGCAGCAGACAGGTGGGGAGCACAATGCAGAGGTCGAGGGGATTGTTTTCTCAGTGCTTGTTTAAGTCAACAGGCATTTTATCTTTGAGGAAACACAAACTGAGAGATAATAACAGCACCTTTCCTATTTTACTTCATGCCCACCTCGTGGCTAATAGGCTTGAAGTAACAAGGCTGTTGTTGCTTTGAGAGCCATAATTTGTCAGTTACTGAATGTTTTGTTTGTAAACCTTGTCTTTCATATTTAGCATAAACTTCCTTTTGTGGCTCTGAGTTTGCTTTGTTTTCTTTGGGTTTTTTCCCATTTGTTTATTTCCTGCAGAAGAACCCTAATATCATATGCTGCAAACTCAAATGGTTGACTTCTCACCAGGCTTTATCATTCCCAGAGACCTGGTGAACAAGCAGACACCCCTTGAATCCACAAGGGCAGGCAAGGGTTCCCTGGATCAGAGAGCTTTGAGAAAGCCCTCAGGTGCCTGGCTGCCCCAAGCAGTCAGGATATCAGCCTAAATCTCACAGAGGTAGCAGAAGCTAGAGTGACTTTGGCTTGATGGCTGAAGCATTCATTGTATTGCATCCTCTTGACCATTAATGCACACTTCTACCTGGCTCAGAGATGATGGATCTGTGTTAAAATGTTGGACAGCTGGAGAAAAGAAGCAGTGTGAAGGGGTGAGTAGGGGGAGGGCAGTAGTATCTCACAGAGCAAAGGAACCTGTGGCTTATGAGGTCTGTTTGCCACAGCCCTGCTGCTGCAGTTGGCCAGGCAGTGACCAAAGGCCTGGGGCCACCAATGGCAGCCATGTCAGGAGGATACCATGCTCTGGGCTTCCAAGGGCTTGGGTTTGTGTGACACAAACACCATCAGCTTCAGCAGACCCAAAATTCAGCTTTTCTTCATTGTGTTGTTAAGGACGCGCTATAGGTCCTTCTGAGAGTTATCTCCTGCTTCCCTCTGTAAGTCAAGGTGCTGGTTGCCTTCCCTGGTGGATAAAGCTGAGAAATGACAGCAGGGTTTGACTTCAGCCCTGTGATTACTAGAAACTGTGACAACTACATGGCAAAGAATAAACTCAGGAAGTTCTGTCAAGACCTTTTCCTGGGTGAAGATGAAAGGAATATCTTTCACACTCTTAATATAGTTTCACTAGCAGTGAGTAATGCAACACTGCACTTCAATAGGCTAAATTTCGTGGAGGTGGGAACAGGAAAATATATTTGGTGACATATCTCTGTTCACAGATAAAACTTAGGATACTGAATTCAGGATATTCCGCATTTAAATCACCACCCCCATCACCCCAGAAGGAGAATCTTAATGAACTGCTCCTGCTGTCTTAAGGGAATGCTACATGAATATGAAAAGATTTTCTGTTAGATCTGACTTAACTTTTTGGCCCCTTTTCAACATCAGATCCTTTCAGTTCTCCCAAGCCTGATTCCTGTTGTGTAAATTATAATGATCTAATAACCTGAACCCTAAATGCAGGTTGTACAGGATAATTTTGGTCAGCTACAAGCACCTGCATTGACTTTCAGCCATGGCATCTGGTAACAGTCTTGAAATCACAAGTACTACTCCATTGCCTACCATTAGGAACTCTTGCAGTGAACAGTCATTAACAGCAGCAGTTTTTAGTGTCAGGAATATGGGCACAAAATGGTTTGCTGGATCATGGGTAGGAAAAAAGCTCAAAGAGGATCTAAGCTCAAGCCTAGTGTGTTCTCTCAGTGAATTGAAACTTTGCAGAAAGTTTTTGGGGGGTTTGGGGTTGGGGTTTTTTTGCCTTCCCAGCTCAGAGCTCAGATGTGTGCATGGTATCAGATTGCTCGTGGTTGCTCGTGATTACTTTTACCCTATTAACATCTACTTGTCAATGTGTCAAGAGCATGCTAAAAAAGGAACATTTGGAGGTAAAAACCCTGTTCTTTCTAATTCAAGATGTGACCCAAGGTAACTGATGGCAGGTCACTTTATAAAGCATGTGCTTGCCTGTGCTGCTGTGGTGTCCCCCCCTCCCTGCACTA